TACTTCAATAAGAGTGAGAAAGATTGGTTTAACTAACCGTTTTCAAGAGTGGAAAACCTTGAATTTTTGAAAAATTAAAAGACACCTCAGAAGTCTGGAAAGCTCATTTAAAAAATTTGACACCCCCACCTCCAAATGTGAAACCAGGTCCGCCCGTGTTTATAAACTCTATCTTCAAGGTGCTTATTGCATTTGTAGCTTTCCATTTTTGGTTGTTGAAAGATATGAAGAAAAAAACAATACAAACAAAGAAAAAATTAAGTAGGCCTACCGGCCTATCACACTAAACGTTGACTTATTATAAAAGTTTTAGTCATACTGTGTTCAAATTGTGTTTGTTATTCTATTATTGTCGCAATATATGCTGTAATATATATAATATAGTGGAGTTGAATAGCTTGGTGGTTAAGATGCTTGCCTTCCAATCCCAGGGTCCTGGGTTCAATTCCTGTCAGTTGCAGGATTTTTTCTCACGACGAAAACAACTCCACTCCCTAAATCTCATATTAAGATTTAGTTTGTGTAAAGCATCATGTGTGTATGTTTGTCTTGTGTAAGGGATTGTCACAAGTAGGACAGTGATATATTCGCTATTGACAATCCTTGGCACATGTATTGTGTGCCTAAATAAATAATAAAAATAAATAAAAAAAAAAAAGTAATAAAACTTCATAATAAAATTGTATATGGTTCAAATATCACAATTTCCAAAAAATAAATGATAATCAATCTAAGCAAGATAGACATTGTGTTTTAAAGACCAAAGGTGCTAAATGGTACAATATTTTACTTTTCCATTATCTCAAATTTGATACTGTAATGCCTATCTGTTTTTCCCATAACCTCACAATTATGATACTGTAATGCCTACCGGTATCTGTGTATCACTACAATACAAACCGTACATGTTTCAGCGCAAAATAAATAAATAAATAATTGTTTTTTGTTTTGCTAATCTTTAATTTATTACTGCCTCTTCTTTTTAAAGTGTATCGCTTTTGTCGTTGCTGTCTACTTTATACCTCCATCCTATATTTCATGAAGATTTTTGAGGGGTATTTATTTTAGGAAGTATTTTTTAAATGTTTGTGTATTGCAATACTAAATAAATCACCCTTCATTGGAAATAGCCTACACAGTATGCCACCAAAGCACACAGAACCGGGTTATAACAACTATTAATTAAATTCTCACTGAAGAAAAAAATAGTATTAAAAATGGTTTAGTTTGCATTTTTGAACCGGGCGCTTATTCGAAACATTTAGGGCTTATTCGAAATTGAACATTTTGGGGGGGTCTTATTCGAAATTTAACATTTGGAGGGGGCGCTTATATTTAGCATAATTTCCCATCAGCCTCGGCATAATTTGATTTGCATCGCTGGTCACACTATACCTATTTCACGTATTCCCATAGTAGGCCTATCAAAGACCCTACATCATCGTAAATAAACGTATACAAAGGTATGCTTTTGTCTTCATTGTGTTATTTATTCATTTGAACTACGCTGTATACATTGTATTTATTACCCTCTTTCTTAAAATGTTTCATTGCACACCAGGCACTTATTCACTCGATAATTAAGCGCTTATTAATTTAAAATATTAAACTTACAAATAAATATAAATAATCAATGTAAAAAGATATATTATATTTACATCAAGATTTAATTAACTTATTCGATTATTGTGCCAGAAAAGTATTATTTAATAGATTACAGTACATAATTTACATATTAAATTGACTTTTTAATTCCAATAAATTTAATTTATCCAATTTAATTTCAATTATCATTTATGCAATTTTATCTATGAATTTGGCGGACCAGAGTGAACATTCCAGGCACCACCACCGATCAAGCACAGAGAAAGGGGATATAGTATTTCCTCATTTAATTTACAGCTGGATGTTTTTAATTGTTTTGCAAAATATTATGATTTCTTTATCGGTATTAAAACGAATTCTGTGACCCACCGATCCGCGCTACTTGGCATTCGCACAAAAATGTCAATACTATTTTATTGAAACATAATATAATTGTCGGCAATCGTAAATTTGGGGAAACTGTAACCAAAAATGAGAATTTAT